ACATACACACATACATAGACATACCAATTACATATTCCGTTTTAATTCAACGAAAATAATTCGTATATTATAAAATTATAAATATAATATAATATAAAAAAGAGAAAAAAAAGAACAAATAAAAACGCGTGATACTCTGCCATATTTCGAAAGGCTCAAGAAGACCTTTTAGGTTCATGGTAATTTTTCTAATCTTTTCTTAGCCAATTAAACGATATGACGAACAAATAAAATAAAAATAAAATATAATAAAGTAAATAAATAAATAAATAAAAATGCAAAATCTATATGTCGAATAAAACAAAAACAAAAAGAAGAAGAAGAAGAAGAAAAAAGAATTAAAATTTTGTCGGGATCGTGACAAGAACACGAGTGAGTTCGAAAAGGTGCAGGGGTGGATGAAGGGATGAGAAGGGGGGTGCGTGTACGTGGGAAATTATTGGAAGGAAAAAAAATTCTTTTTCCAATTCGTTTTCTTTTTAATCGGTGTAATCGAGAAAAAAAAAAAACAAAAAAATGAAACACAAACGGGGGAACAAAATGCATGCGTTATTTCTCGATTTAAAACGATGATTAATAATAATAATAGTTCCTCGGACGACCTGTCATTAAGATCCTCATCTAGCAATACGCGATAAATATGTTAATGATGTTTATTTTTAAGATATTAGATTATGAAGTGGGTAAAAGGATATTAAAAAAAAAAAAAGAACAAAACAAAAAAATAAAAAAAACAAAAAGAAATATCTCTCAATGTTTCTAATAATTATGTACATAAGACAACGGGAATACATTATTCGAGAAACACGCTAATTAAATTATATTAAAATTAAAGTAAAAATATAAATATGTTCGACACGGATAGGCTCTCATTGTTCGAAGATGATGAAAATATGGAAAAAGAATATTAAAAAAAAAAAAAAGAAAAAAAAGGTAAAGAAAAATGAAAAAGAAAAATAAAATAAAAATAAAATGTTTGTGTGTGTTTTTTGACGCATGGTTAAATCATTTCTAATTATTATTATTATTACTATTATTATTATTATTATTAATATTATTAATATTTAACTCTCGAAGATATTATGTCGAATCGAGAGTAATCGACATTAAAAGTTTCTCTCTATCTTTCTCTCTTTCTCTCTTTCTCTCTTTATGCGAGTACGAGTATAATACTTTTCCTAAAATTTTTCCCATCGTTATATTCCCCTGTTATAAAAATTACGATAAATATTTTGCGCAAAATTTTGCCGATCTAATAATTGTAAAATGGTGGACGAATGTTTGACAATGATATAAGAAAAAAAGAAAGAAAGAAAGAAACGAAACGAATAAAATCATAAGATAAGAAAAAGAAAAGTAATATAAAATTCTAACGAAATATAATAATAATATCAGCACGTATACTGTTAAAAAAAGAAAAAAAAAAAAAGAAAAAAAAAAAAAAAAAAAAAAAACGATGCACAGAAGTAAAATTGAATCTATTGTAAAAAAAAAAAAAACGTCATTTACATACGAATCAATGTCCCATATTTTCAATCCCGCATAAAATAACAATTTAAATTACAAAAAGGTAAAATTACAATCTAACGTAATTTTTGTCATAAGATTTGGATGGTTGTCGATTGTAAATAATATCGTCTTCCTTTTTTTTATTAACGTTTCTACCGTCCAATACGATTGGTTGATCCTCTTCACGTAAAAACAAAGTTGTCGTGGGCGTTGTAACGGTTGCATTATTGTCTTGCAATGATTGCTACAATTATGAATTTATGTTAATAAGTATTTTAATTATTTATCACTCTTTCTCTCTCTTTATATTTTTWTTTTTTTTTTTTTTTTTTTTTTATTATTAAGATGACTTACTTGCATAACGTTTATGAGAAAAAGAAAGGCAAGTAAAGTTAAAGCACTCAAAGCAGCATTATTACCACCACCTTTGTTTCCTTTATAACCACTGAAATGTAAACAATGATGATGAAGAAGATGATGAAGAAGAAGAAGTTCTTTTAATCTTAATTATGGTTAAACATTATCAAAAGATTCTTTGAGAAATTTTTCCAATAATAACCCTTTAGAACTGTGATGGTAAGAATCACCACCCCATCCGCTGTGATAACGATCGACAGGCGTGTAAGGAATTTTTCCGGAGGAACCGAAATTCATCAACGATTTAAACGTCATCTTAATCTGGAACAACAACAACAACAACAATAATAAAAATAATAAGAAATGAATTATTCGTTATTATAGAATTTATTTCATTGCAATAGTATTTTTCAAATTATATATTTGTTTGTTTTAATTTGCGCATAAAGTTAAAAGAATATTTCAACACGTTATTCGATTTATTTCAATATTTTTTTGTTTATCATCGAATACACATGTACTACGTATTTAAAATGTTATGCACGTTTTACATAAGTAAACAAAGACGTATAAATTTATGGAACGTTCGTTTCATGTAAAAGGTTTTAACAAGAAAAAAAAAAATAACGAAATACTGACACATAGTTCTTTGACCTCTTCTTACGTACTTGGAATGCGGTCGATACGGAATTGATATCATTTTTATTAATTTTTTTTTTAACTTGACAAACAGGTTGGCGAAGATAATTAAACAAACATTTATATGGGTTTTTTTCTCTTTCTCTGTATATTTTTTTCTATTTCTTTCGTATGTTTTTTTTTCAATTTAAATAACACGACAGATTAATTTCGTATATGTACATACAATATTTCCTCATTGAAAATTTTCCATAGGATATTATACGATATTATTTTTACATGGGAGAGATAAGATAATTCAAATTTTTCGAAGAATTTTAAATACCAAATTTAATATTGATTACTTGAATTTTTAATTAATTTCACATTACAAAATATAATAATATTATATATATAATATCATTAATTTTATATTATGAGTCTTATTTAATTTATTTATTATTACTTTTATTTGTTAAGTATAACATTTGATTGCATGGAAAGTTAGTAATCGATTTAAACAAAACAATAGATTATTCAAAGATAAAACTCTATATTATATTTCTTTGGAAACACATATATTTATTAATTAATAATATTTTATATATTGACGTAATAATAATATTTAAATATATATATTTACGCGTGTAAGTTCAATTTTATAAATTTATATTTTTCTCTTATAATTTGTTTTTTTGAAATATTATATACACGGTGTACTGTAGAATATTTATATCGATAATTTTAATATCTTATTAGTATAATTTAAGTTTTAAATAATATATTTTCCTAAATATATATTACGAAACTTAAATTCTCAGTATAAAAATGAAAATGTTTGCATAATTACGCGAAAGTTTTGTGAAACATGCTGAATGTCGTAAAAACTCAATTTGTCCGAGGAATATCTGTGAATAAGGTTTAGAAAGATAAACGATGACGGGTGTTGCTTACCTTTGCTTAATTTCAAAGGTATTCTGACGCAAATGTAGAAAATATTCACAAAAGCGGTTGACGTGAAACGAAAGAACTTTCTTAAACGAGATTCATAATATGACTGGTTTCTGTCATCTGAAAATTCATTGCTCGACTTTTTATTTTTTTTTTTATTTTTTTCCTCTCTCTTTCCTTCTTTTCTTGTCACGGTTTATGGGTTCCTTTGAGGCTGCGTTCTTCCTCGATGATTTCCCAGGCGTAAATTTGTTCCGGATGTTGCTCTACAAAAGTATATTCCACAACGGAATTTTTTTTCTTCTTCTTCTTGTGTCCTTAATTTCGTTTATTTTTATCTCTTTTGTTCGTCATTTCTCGTACGCATCCTATCGTAAAATTGTTAATGAAATTATTATCAATAATTTCGATCATCTAACATACTGAGATAATTATTTTGAGATAAGTTTTCAATTTAAAGTAGTAATCAATTTTTGTTGTTCTATTTTTCAATTCATTTTTATTAGTTTGTTTATTTCGTCGAAGTTAAAAATTTTTCAAACCTTCCCAGTACGTTGTACGTTCAAATTATTATTTTATTTTTATTAGCACGTATATTGTTTTTGTTAAATCGTTTATTTGAAATTTATTTTCATAATAATAGAATAGATTTTTGATTGTTTAATCGAAATAATTAAATCGAGTTTTAAATTTAGGCCATTTATTTAATATTTTCGTTATATTCCACATATACAATACATAGATTCAATTTAAACGAGCTTGATGAATTAGGGTAATCCTAAAAGAATAAACTTCACCCGTAAAATAATATACTATGTATATATATATATATATATATTATAACGCCTATATATACAATAATTAATTCAGATCGATTATTGAAATAGGTTTTATTTCGTAAATTTTTTTGTTTAATATCTATATATCGCGTGAAATAAAAATAAAGTGAAAAAATTTGTATTTTATATTTTAACTTATATAAAAAGAACGATCTATAAAATAATATATATATTATACTTTTTATTTTTGTAGATGTTCGTAGTATAATAGGTACATAAGTATGATAATATATCTAACAATCGAAGTCAATCACGATAATCTCGTTAATCGTCCTAATGATTAAAACAATATTTCCTTTTATTTTATCATCGAAGTCGATAGAGAGATTTGATTTTTGTTTTTTTTTATTCAATTAAATGAAAATTATTATAAAATATTCAAATATATATTAAATACAGTTCATTTCGCATCGAACGATATTTTTTCCATAGGATCGGTTTCTTTTCATAATATTCTCATAAATTTACAATTATATAAACACACTTTTGAATCATGAATTTTTCTAAACATTTACGACAATTATATACGAAAAATACGAGTATAATTTTTTCGAGATACGATCGAATTTATAATCATCGAAGGAATTATTTTAATTTCGATGAAAAAAATAAACCTTCCCCCCCTGGGACAATTAACGTATTATCGCGATTAACAACGAACTGTAATGTTTTTCGATATTTTATTTAAAAAAAATCGTTCGAAACATTCGATAATTATTTATTTATTTATTTAGTTTTTTTTTTTTTCGAAACGATCGATCGATTGATTTGTTCTATGCTCTAACTTTCTTTAAATAAATATAAATAATAAGTATAACTATTGAGATAAAGAACGCATATATCGTTGACTCGTACGATCGATCAATATGTGTTACGCGAACAAATTTGTATGTTCGTACGAGCCCCGACCAATTTTTTTTTTATTCAGTCTAATTCTAACGAAAAAAAAAAAAAATACTAAAACGTTCGACGATTTTTTCTCTCTCCGAAAGTTCTTTGTTGTTGTTTTTTTTCTTTTTTTTTTTTTACAACGATCGACGACGAAGAAAAGAGAAATACCTTTCCGCGAAAGATAAAATCGTCGAGAGGATCTTCGAGTGATTTCATCTGATGATGATGATATTACGAATCTTCTTCGTTAAAGGTTTACACGATTTTAACGACAATTAAAACTTTCGCTAGATAACCGATCGAAAAGATCATTTTAATTCTATTGGTTTTTTTTCTCTTTCTCTCTTTTTAATTATTATAAATATAATTAAATGAAATGTTAAGTGTGATGTGTTTCGTACTAAATGAAGAAGAAATATTATTCCTTCCGTTTCTTCTTTGATTCAATTCGAAAAGAGAAAAAAAAGTATAATTATATTTTTTCGTTCAATCTTATTCTTTCTTTTTTTTTTTTTTTTTTAAATGCAATTTTTATAACTTTCTTTTTTTCTGGCGGAATGTTTCTAACGATGATTTTTCCCGCGTGCGACTTTGTTTTTTTAATATAAATTTTCTTTTTCCCTTTTTTCTTTCAACGAAATAAATATCGAACGGTATCTGCGAAAGTTGAAATAACGTTTTTTACGCGAAATTTGTTTGCTCATGCGACGTTACAATCCATGAAAAGAGTTCTGCAATCTTCTCCCATACGACCACGTCGTCCAGCATCGTAAAGTGCCTCGAATCCTACGCCACTTTGCCTTTGCAACATGTAACTTGTTGCGTATCTAAATACAACAAAAAAAGCAACAATTTTTATTTTTTAATATATCAGTTCAGAAAAAATTACGTTAGAATAAAATGATTTATCTTTGATTATTAAACAAACGTACGATCCTAATTGACAGAAAATCGTTGATGTGCCTTGTGCATCGGCTGCACATTCAGCACTGGCTTCGCAAAGGGCCCTTTCGGCACAACCTTGTTGACCTTCGTCCTCGGCTCTACCAATATTACTGAAAGTTTTTACCGATCTCACGTATCCCTAAAATATATAATCAAAAAGAATAATTATTTATTAGTTAGAAAAAAATGATTCTTTTTTAAGGACAAGAAACGTGACAAACGTGAGACGAGAAACAAAATACAATAAAGTTTATTTCTTTGAACAATTTATTTTACTATTATTAATAATTCGTATTGGTTAAATTGATTTTTAATAATTATTTATATAATAAAAAACAAAATAAAAATAATGATACGCCTGTAGATAGGCAAGACTTTATACGTCGTCTTTAATTGTGCTTGCAAGTGCCATCTATCGGAAAGAATAGGTTGTATAAAGTAAAATTAATAGATGGCGTTAGTAAGTATAACGAAAGATAATGTATAAAGCATTGCCTATATGCAGGCGCGATAAAAATAATTTTTGTTTAAATAATTACAAAGTATTGTTTTCTCGTTTAAAATGCATAGTAAAAATCTAAACAAACTGGTAATATTATTTGAAACAATTTAATTTCGATAAAACTCGTTGTCGATATTTCATTTAGAAAAAAAACAAAAGTTTTTTGTTAAGATTCAATACCTGTCAACTCATCACTTTTCGTATTATAGTAATTGTAATTAACTTCGATGACTTTGGTATATTCGATTATTCCTGATCACGAGTCATTACAATTGCATAAATATAAAAATACGATCTATGAGAAGTAGGATGTTTATATACTGTAATTATTATTAAATAATAAAAGTCAAATGTGTGTGAAACGTACCTTAAGCATACTGATTGATGCCATTGCTGCTTCAGAAACGCTGTCGTGTCTACCAAGAGAACGTGCTGATAAAGAACGATGCGAGAAGGATGTTTTCAATGCGTCCAACAGGTTGATGACGATGCTGATGAACTGTATGATAAGAAAGCATAAAATTGTAGCATACTTTTTCAACATTTATTCTTGCTCGTCGTTGCACGAAATAAAGAATAGAATAAAATAAAATAAAATAGAAAAGAAAAGTAAAGTGAAGAAAGAAAGAATAAGAATAAAAAAAAGCATGCTAGTTTAGAAAGTAGAAATAGTTGATACTTGATTTCCGTCTCGTCACGAACATTAAGTGATCTCTCATTTGTATTAATATATTTCTGTATTATTTTTTAACAATTTATGTGTTAATAATTAGAATGTTTTTTTTTTATAAAGAAACGAAAATCAAGTTGACACACGAATGAACCAAGAAAATATTAGTAAATACGAATATCGATATAATATAAAAAAAATACAAGAAAAGAAAATGTTAATAACAATGCTTAACAATAATAGATCGTTAATAATTACTTCGCGTGAAGAAATTCCTAAATTTGGTTACACTCGAAAAAATTGTTTCTTTGTTTTTTTTTTTTCTGTTCATAATCGTACTAACCTCTGAAGCATTTTTAGCCATGACAGCAACCTGATTTGGGTCTCTGCCCTGTCCTAGAAACGCGCCCAACACCGCAGTCAAAATCTCCTAAACAACCGACACCAGCCGTGTGCGCTAAGTCGAAATTTTGAATTTTATTTACAAGAAAGGGGGTGGTATGCCAATAGCATCTCTCACGAATCGCGTTACGCATTGTTTTTTTAATTTATCATATTATTATTCATGAAATATATTCATGTTATTTCATAATGAAAATCGTATATGCAGGATTTAAAAATAAATATATATTCAAATTAAATATACTAAATATTTTGTATTCACACATTATTATCATAACGTGTGTTCTATTTATTGTATAAATATTAAATAGATTTTATCTTTTTTTTTTCTTTTTTTTTTTTAATTGTACACCTTGTATAAGAGTCGAACTTTCACCGTGACAATGAATATATAATTAAAATATTGTCAAAGTTTTTTTCGTAACGTTAGAAACTCATAAGTATTTCGTGATTACAATTAAATCGTTCAGTAAACGTGAAGATCGTTAACGAAATTTTTTCAGCCGTAAAAGAAAAGAAAAGAAAAGAAAAAAATAGAATGAGAAACAATGATCGACAATGACGACTTACTGTCGTGAATTTGTTTAAATTAATAATGGAAGTTGCTCGTTAAACCGAGCAGTCAATAAGTGTCTCGTTAGAAATCACAAACGTCTCTTACACGTTTACATTCTCTAATTTAAACAAGAAAGTTTAAACGAAAAGTGTGTTTCGAGAATGATCGTTGTTCGACTTTCTAAAAAAAAGATATTCAACGATTTATACACACAAAAGAAAAAAAAAATGATCAAGAAATAAATAACGATGGACAATGCGTAACGTAATAAATAAGCAAGGAATTTTTGCATGATATGCCAAATTAAGTGCATAAATATTTTTTCGCGTGAGTGCACGGTGAAACAGAAGATTGGGTGCTACTACTTAGGTTTGCAATTATCGATAAATTGGTATTGTTTAAAATATAACGAAATTATATAACAAGGATAGCAAGATTATTATAACTATTGTTAACAAAAGCTCATTTTGTTGTGTTTGTACAAAATTAATGAATTTATATATATATAGTTTAAAAAAAAAATAATCATTTGTTTCAATATTTAATGTACAATATTGAAAAAAAATGTTGATATAATGTGGACGACGTTAATGACCTTATCGAATACCTGCATGGGACTGCTTTGATTATCGACTTTGTCGATACCATCAACGGATTGTTGTGGACCACCTAAAAGTGCTGTAAGTACTCGTAGACCAACTGAGAGAAGATTTGCCCATGGACTTGCTGGTACACCATCATCTATGTCATTTTTACTCGGTCCAGTTATACCACCAGTTTGACCCAAAAGCATTTGCATGAACATTCCTAACATGTTAGACCACGAGAAACCGCTGCTGCTTCCTTCCTACACAAATTTCATACAAATTTCATTTAATTTATTTGTTCCCAACGATCATCTAGTTTCAATCCATTTGCATCAAAATGTTATTATCTTATTTTTACTGTTCGATTTTTAATTTTGATAATGACATATGATAAAATATTATTAATCATTTTTATATTATCATTTTGACGATAAGAATAGTATATTATATTAAAAAATTATTTAATTATATGATACGATAAATATGTATATATAATTATTTAATATATTTCATTTTTATGTTAATATGAAATGAGATAATCGAATGTGCATACGCCTCCGGATAAAAGTTAGAAATAATTTGTTGATTTTGTTTAGATAAATTTTAAAATGATCTATTGTTGTTTTACATCAAATATTAAACAATTTTGAATTATGTTTTAAGAGATTTTAATTTAATTATTTTTTTTATAATGAAAAAGAATATTTATTCGTTGTTATAAAATAATAATACTTGACCAATAATTCTATCTCTCGGTTACTTTAAAAGCATTCGTATTGTTTTGTTTATTTAAATAAATACAAATCGAATAAATTAAACATATATACGAATTTTAAATGTAAATAAAATAAATAGAAATTTTTTTTTTTTAAATAAATACGAACCATAAAGATTTCTAACTTTTCATCTATAAACGTATGCACTCAATTGCATTAATGATGCAAATGGGGGAAAAAAAATGCATTAGTAATTGCGACGCTAACAGTGTTCCAAGGAAAGCTTCGACTTGTTTTTCGACTAACTTGAATCTGATTGGTACTGATGTCCTCGAGATCGTCGATTGCAACTTTTTTCATGGCGTTAGGTTTCTCAGCAAATTTCCTTTCATCTCTGACTTGTTGCTGATATTGTTGAGGATATTGCTGAGTGTATTGGGGATGTTGTGGCAATGCTGCAGCTTGTCCAATGACAAGCCCTAACAAGCATAACGCCACACGTTGATTGAAAGTCATCCTGTAACACACACACACACACACATATATCACAATAGTAATTAATCAACGTTGTTGGTTTGTTAATTAATCATTGAATGTATCACGTTACTGGGAATTATGGATCATTATTCTAATACAGGATCAAATCTATTCCATTTGATAAAATCATAATCAAGTAATATGTATTTTTTTATATGTATAGTGTGATCACAACAATTGTATACCTTTTATGAAATTTATTAATATTGTTTATATTAATATTAGAATATTATGTGTATAATATTGTGTATAAAGTATACGAAGTGTAAAATAATAAAATTGTTCGACATATGATTAAACTTTTAACGAGGGAATTATTAATATTTCATATAAAATAAAATAAAATGTACGTGTGTGTTTGTAGGATATAAAAGTTATATAATATACAATTATTTGTGTGACACGCGATCGTAGAAATGTATTAAATTATTTAAAATAACAATTGGGACTAGATTCAAATAAAGTTTCTTAGAAAATATTTATTAACATAACTAACGATATTATTAAATTTTGATTTCTTATGAACACATATATGAGTTTGTTAATGTAAATACAAATAATGTAATATCGGTGCAAGTATTGTTCATTTATTTATTAACAATTTCTTACTTATATCTCATTTCAATTATAATTAATTGTTAAATGTGTATTCAATATATAATTAATCAACGCGGAACACTTAAACGAATGATAAAGTATTTCTTTTCCAATTAAACAAACTTAAAACAAATTAAAAAATATTCAACGCTCGAAAGATTAATTAATTGATTATTTAAATCAATAGAAATAGAACGAGAAGAGAAAGAAATTAGAACACACAAAAATGAAATGGAATAAAAATAATCGGAAGGAAAGTTTTTTTTTTTTGTTCAACGAAATGATCTAATTCACACTAACCAAGTCAGACATAATCTATCGTACTTTCTCTATCATTAATTGAATATCACGAGAAGAATTTTCCTTTCCGCGTGTTAATTCTCGCACGATTCTCGATTTTATTCTTAGAATTAGTTAAATAAAAAGATTAGGATGAATGAATTTTTAATTCCACTCTCAATTCGTTTCATTTGATTATTTTTCATTGTCAAGGACGAATGGAATGAAATAATCATTTCGATCATTCATTTGATTTCGTTCGTTTGTTCTCTCGTGACTTGAATGAATCAAAGTAACAAATTTTTTATTTTTTATAATTATGAATAAAACTATGTAAGAAAAATAACAAATCATTTTATTACACGTGCTGGATATAGAATTTTTCAGTCCTTTTTTTACTAAAACATAGCACAATTCTATTTTATATAAGTATTATTTTCATTTGTTTAATGTATGTATAAACAATTCTTGACGTAACCATTGAAAAAATTATAACTAAAAATGTGCAACCTTCTCTATGTTAGATTCTGAACTTTTAAGCCCTTCACATGTTAAACTTAGAACTTTTCAGACCTCCTTTATGAAATATATTATGTTATTTATGAAATAGAATATTAAGGATTGCATCAAAATATTTTTATTCTAATTATAATTACTAATTATATATTACTTTCGTAATAATGTTGATTGTTATAATAAAATAATAACATTAGAAATTTCACACGTTCTGTAATACAAATATGCACCCTTTTTTTTATTATTATATTCTTTATAAAATTAATATAACATACTTTAGAAAACTAGAAAAAAAACAAAAATAAAAAGAAAATTAATTAAACATATTTTACAATAACGAAAATAAGAAATAAAAGAATACTGTAATAAAAGAATACCCTGTTTTTTCGCAAACGATTAAATATCTCGTTTTTTTAAATAAGTGTGGAAAGTTTGAAAAAAAAAATCTGAAACCAACGAACCCCCATCTATCTTTTATTAGACAAAAAATAAAATATTATAGTATTATAGTTATTTATGAAAGAAATGTATTGTCATTACTATGGACACAGAAGAATTGCATGAAATAAATATGAAATAAATATGAAATAAATATGAAATAAATTTGGAATAAAACGTATTTAAACTTTCGTTAGTATGTGTATGTGTTAGGAACAGTTGTATAGATGTATGGAAAGTGTGTCACGGCGGTTAAGGTCGGTTCGATAAACGAGCAACATGATTGCTCGTTAGCCCACTTCTCGATATCGATGTTGGTTTGTTGAACTCGGTTTGTACCGTTAGTTTGAAAAGGCGGTCGTGACCTACTCTCCTCTTCCTCGTCGTTCAGTAAAACATAAAAAGAAAAATGTCGACGGGGGAGACACGTTTTAAGAAAAATAATCAAAAGGGAAAAGAAAGAGAAACGTTTTTTTTTTTAATTATTAATCGTTAAAGTTTTCAATAATTTTTTGGACAAATAAATATTCAATTCTCATTTCAAATAATATAATATCGAAAGTGAAATATTTATATTGAATTTAAATTAATAAATATGTGTATAATATATGCATAAGGGAGTGGCCCATAAATTAATTCATATTACCATTGATTATTATATTATTTTATATTGATTTAGATTAATATCCGTTTTTGAATTTATAGTTGTTTCTTACAAGGGGTCAAATTTTATTAAGAATAAAAATATTTATATGATTTTGTATATTATGTTATAATTTGTAATAATAATAATAATGATAATGCACTTTTTGCATAATTTGATTTTATAATTAATTCTGTGTATATAAATATCGGAGTATTGTTAATTGTTATAAAAGCGCGTTGAATAAATAATGAATTATTAAAAAGAACCTTTATACATTTATATATAAATTTATTAATAGAAATAAATAATGAAATATTATCTTCTCTCTCTCTCTCTCTCTCTTTCTGTCTATTGATACTCAATTATAATGATTCCCTTTGTCAAATGAATTTAATATTGCGTGACGATTGTCACGGTTTACCTTTGTTGGGATTGTTATGTTAGATCGTCATCGAAGCAAATATAGTTCAATCATTATGCACCGATGAATGTAATATAAGATTAAACAAACGTAATTATATACGAATTTATTAGATGAAATTTAATTGATATTGTATTACGAGAATGAATTATATTTCAAATAATAATAATAACAACAATGATATTTCTTATACTTCATTTTGTAAACGAGAAAATTTAATTATGATGTATTAGCTTTCGTTGATTTGTTAAAAATAAAAATAAAAAAGAAAACAAGAAGATGATGAAGAAAACGAGTCTCGTTGTCTGCAAGTTGTCATCCATCTTTTTGAAAAACGGTACATACTCGTTCTAATGGAAGAAAAAATTGCAAACAAGTTTCTAACTGTAACCCTAACGCTTGAAAGGAATTTTCTATCTGTAGTCTCGTCCTTTTAACCGTGTCAAATTCTTCGTCTAACTGTTAGACCACTTATCACGCGATTTCTTTATATGTATTTATAGTTTTCTATGTTTTCTTTTCGAGATAGATCCTTTTTTTTTTTGGTTATTTATTTGACCAAACGAAAAGTAGAGCTAGTAATTTTCATTTAAATAAACAAATTACCGTACAATTGCTAAGAATATAAGTAAATTACATTTTAATATTATTATTATTACGTATTTTATATATTATTATTTTTGAATTTATTAAACAAATTAATAATTTTCGTGTTTAAATAAATAATTACGCTGTGTGCAATAGTAAATTATATTTTAATATTATTATATTTGTTTTTTTTTTTCGTAATTATAACAAGTGTATTTTCGATTGGTTAAAGAAAATTATTTATTCGATAAAGAAAATCCCTTCCACCCTTATTAAAGCGAACTCGAAGTTACGCGTTTCTTGATTTTATCGTTTCAATTGTAAAACATTTTGACTGATCGTACTAATAAATTAAGTGATTAAGTATGAAATGTTCGATTTAAGAATCTAATGTAAGTGGAATAATCGAACGTTTAATGTTAGATTTTAGTAAAAAAGAATTAAGTTATTAAATATTACAAAAGTATCGATAAATTTTGACTCTAACAATAATGTTTTAGAAAAAGTATAATTTAAATTAAGAAAAATTATCAATATAATTAGAAAAGAGAATATAAAGTAAAATTTAAAATATAAAAATAAAAATAATTTTGTTCTTCTTCGTAATAATAACGAATCTTTAATCCATTTTAGAGAAAGAAAGATTAGTAAAAGAAATTAATTATTATATATATAAAATGTATAAATAAATAATAAAAATATAATTTAATTAAATTGTTTTTAAAAACCGTAAGATTAATTAAATATTTTCGAATGATTGTTTCGATGATTACGATGATTGAATTTTGTTTAAACCAATGGAGTTCGTCGCGATGTGTGTGAGACCGGAAAAGAATTGATACATTTTTTTTGTATTTCTACTCACTTCATTATTTCCAGGTAGCCTTTCCTTGACACTGACTTTCAGTTCTGAAGATGAAATTCCTTGCGGGGTCTTCTATATAGCTTGCGGATGCACGTGGGGGAAAACCGTTTGGCCAATGATCACTCGGCTTTGATTCTATTTTCAATGGAACTGGCCTATCCACGATCATCATCCTAAGCTCCACATAAAATAGATTTTTCAAATTATTTTTCGACGACACATTCATCCACCTTGTTTTGCTTTCTATTTTATTCGTTTATCCTTTAACACATTTGTATTTTTTTTTCTAACTAACCATACATTTATGATTCACGTTTTAACTTGATTAGTAAATAATACAAATATATAATTGTATTAATAATTATGACATATGTGTGTGTGTGTAAATATTCAACACAGAATATTTCAAATTTCGAGAAGATTTAATATCAAAATTTGATGTGTACCGTTTGAAATTTATCACTAATTGTAAGTTGTTTCATTCGAGAATTAAATTGATGAAGAAGATCGAAATTATTGTGGCCGCAGGGGAGGAAGGGGTTAAGAGGGTGGGGGGAAAGTAATGCCACATAACTGGTCTAACGTTCTGCAATTTAGTTAAACATTTTTATCATTGTGTTATTTCCGCCGATCGCACGAAGCTGGATGCATATGCATATACATGTGTGGATGCATGAGCTCATTCTAGAAGGTAACAAGTTGCGAACGTGTTATTAATATTAAATAGTTGTACTTTTCGACTTGGAAAGTATGACGCGAGAAAATCGTGTGTTAAATCAATTTAAATGAATAATAATTTTATATTGTCTAGAGAATGTGTGTTTTTAAATTGATTTTATGATGCAATTATGTAAATATACGGACGAAACAAAGTTTTTCGCGAAACACTAGATTCGATATATTTTAATTTAATTCAATATTAAATATTAATTATTCATTCTATTTTTTTTTTGTAATTTCTCTACATGTATAATAATATATTTTTTTTTATTTAATATTATTACAATGAATTCAATATACGATTCATTTTCTAGATAAAGGTAATAGAATAAAATAATTAATATTATGCATGTGTGAGAGAAAAGAAACTTTATTAAAAAAGAAGAAGGATTATTTATTTATTTTTTAATTGTTAGGTAAATCGAGTAGATGTAATTTTGCTGGAAGGGAAAAAAAAATACATAATATCTATAATAATAAATAATAAATTAAAAATAAATATATAAAAGAGAGATTCTTAATTGAAGAAAATATTCTTAGCTTTTTTGTATTATAGATAAGAAACAACATTTCACCCTTTGATTATTTATGCACATACCGCACTATACTTGATTAGTTTGATCCCGTTCGTTGAGCTACGAAGAAGATGTTCTATGTAAAATATTATACTCAATAATATGTATTATCATTTTTACATAACCACATTATTCGAATACTAAACATGTTATAAGAAAAAGAAAAAAAAAGTATTCAGAATTTTAATCAACCTCGGAATGTAAAATATTCTTTTTTCTCCATGTTTTTTTTTTTTTTTTACCTAAAACACATCTTTGTACAGACAATTCAGTTTGTATAATATTCATTTAATAGGTCATAACGTAACTTTGACATCCGTATCTTTAATAAATTAGAAGAGAAACCGCAAATAACTTTGAAAACGCGAGTAAGAGGTTAATAATGATTTAAAATCTGTTGACCTGAAGACGGATATTACAACTATGGAATGCGATAACAACTATATTTTAAACACAGACACAATGAAAATAAAATCATAAATATAAAATCATAGAGAAGATGATATTGCTATAATATTTATATATTTTAAAATAAATGATCCGATCATATTACATGCACAATATATTATATTTTATGTTATCTTTAATGAGTTATATACGATTCATTTTATTTTATTAACATTTTCTATAAAATAGTATACAAATTATTTTATACAATTACTTTATGCATAAAAATGATTCGTTTTTTTTCTGCATAATTTAATATAATGTCATTGTAATGAAATTAATTAAAGCGAAAGAAAAAAAAAACCCACAAAAATGGGGTTATTAAAAAAAAAAAATGATAATAATAATAATAATAAAATTCAATTGAATGATTTCTTTTCTATTTCTGAAATCTATACGTTCTACTAACCTTACCGTATCTCATTTTATATAAATCTATTTTTTGTGGAACCATCTAGAAAGTCGTTCAAATGAATTGATGACGCACGCGAGGATACCTCATCCTCATACGTAGTAAAGTTTACCATGAAGATTCCACTACAAATAACAACAACAACAACAATCAATAGCAACACACCATCGTACTTTCTCAGATCGATCTTCTCATGTCGTAGTCTTTTACGATCGATCGATGATCCACTTATGCATCGATCCGATTTGATTATTTTTCTTCTTTGTTTTCGTTAAACAAATTAATCATTATAATTAATAATAATTAATTATAATAGGAGAAAAAAATTGTGATCGAAAATTTAACAAATGTTAATATAATCGTTAAATTATATCTGTGTGTTTTCTTGTTATATTCATTTGATCGGAATTTTTCACGGTCCAATGCGTTACGGTTTTATTTATTTATTTTTTTTTATTACATAGTCTTAGAATCTTACGTTCACAAAAAAAAAAAAAAAAAAGGAAAAAATAACTATTACGAAGAAACCGTTTTAATTCGATCAGGAAAAATTCATCACTTTTATTACGTATAATTTGAAAAGGATAAAGAAAGAAAAAGAAAAAGAAAAAAAAAAGGAAAAAAAAAACAGAAAAATAAAAAGATCATATATTATATTATAATTAATCGATTCATCCTTTTAGGAAATGATTTTCCCTTGCATTCCAATTTTGTCTTGATAACACTCGAGCTTGGAAATACCTTCTGATCGAACCGCTGTACGACCTGTTACTCGACACACTTCTCTCTCCTCTCTCTCTCTCTCTCTCTCTCTCCTTTTTATTTCTTTTATTTTTATTCCTTGTCTTTCTTTCTTCGCGATCGAGAACTTTGAATTTGTTTCTTACAAAAGGTTTTACATCTCTGTTAATAAAAATCTGGAACACCTGTTGTGTTGTGTTATGTTCATACAAAGTAACGTAACAAATTTTTCTTCATAGATATTACCTGTTAAAAAATCTTTCCAAGTAATAATCCGTTAGTTTAACACAGATTTAACCCGTTTGCATGTCATCGATCCCAGAACAAAGTTTTTTTTTATGTGTTATTTTGTATTATTTATTTTTCCATCAATGATTTTAGCTTTTTTTTCTTCTATCTCTCGCATTTATTATTATTTGTTCAACTTTCATCATCATCATTATCATCATTTTCTTTTTCTTTTTTCATGTTTCATTTCTCCTTTCGATTACTTCTGACACACGAGTTTTAAAAGAAGTATAAAAATAATAAAAATTGGAATAAAAAGTTTTGCTCTGTTATAATGTAATTCATCATAACTGTTTCAATAGCGGGATGCTGTTGCATTGGTACTTCTTATTAGGAGAATCTCGCTAATCGTTTCTCTTAGCATGGTAAAACCAAGTATGCAGCATTAGGAGGATAAACAACACGTGCAAATTTTCAAGCAAAACCATTACGGGAAGTTAGGTGAACGTATTATCCCGTGTGTTACAGTTCGATTGAAACTTAACGGGATTTAATATCGCGACCTTGGAGAATGCGAGGGAAACCAGTCTTTAAAACGATCTACCTATAAACCGATCCGAAATAAGAACGTTCGTTCTTATCTCGTTTGCAATTTAAACGAATATATATATATACGAGTAATTTTACTTATTTATAGATACCCCAAAGAAATCATCATTTTTTTTTTTTCCTTTACATTTATATTTCGTTCAGTCTTATAGCTTTTTTTAAACGTAATAAGAAAATTATTCGAAAGAATGTAACTGTAAAACAAAAAGAAATAAAAATATAATACGAATGAATTGAATATGAAAAAAGTTCAAATAATACGAATAATTTTAATTGTATAATTTTCGAGTGATATATTTTAATCTAACACATTCAGAGAATGCATTCATTAATTATTTATAATGTTAGTATTAGAATTAAATTGTTTTGTTTCGTTCGTTTGATGAATGAATCCGTTATACGATTGAGAATAAAAGTTATTCAAGCGATTCTATGTGTTTATTTAAGATTCTTATTCTCTGATACGTTCTTATTTGAAGTATGATTAATCGTTAGGATCTTTCAATTTTCTTTCAAAGTGATCATTTTTTTAGATCGTTTTTCTTTTCGATAAAAACGAGTTAACAAATTTTATATAAATAAGATAATGGACAAAATTTAATTTCTTTTTCTTAAATTTTCAACAACACATGATTGAACCCTTCAATATTCGAACGAAGAAAATTCTTTTACATTCATATAATTATTATTTTTTTCACATTAACACGAATTTTTGTTTTATTAACAAAACTGACGAGCCAACGATATTACTTCCTTGATTTATCATAGCGTTTTTTTTTCTTTGACCCTTTTTTATTTCTACATGGATGAAATATAATGTATTTGATGGTTTCCTTACCTCGATTATACTTACCGTAATATTATTTTTTATACTTTCTCTGTAGATATATGTATAGTTATCATCCTATGTTCGATCATTTCGTATAATGTAATAATACGTTAGATTATTATTAATACGTATGTAGATTGTAATAATATAATTACTTAATGAATAATATTTCTATATATATATACAGAATTGAACTAAGTTAACGGTAACAATTTGAAATTTTTGTTTCTTTTTCTTTTAAACATTGTAAAAAAATTCCAATTACTCTAACTGTTAAAATATTTCTTTTATACATTTTTCGTTCGTTTAATTAAAATTAATAATAGCAATCGTGTTATATACGGTTCATCCTATATATAATTCCAATCATTATCATTATTCTTTTTATTATTATATATGTTACGGTTAATATACAGAATTCTATTACTACATATTGATCGTAACATATAATAAAAAGAAATAATAGTTA